ATTATTCTTTAATATTTCTTTTTTTTTTAATTTTAGTTGCACTATATAGTTTAAGTAAATGCTTTAAATTAATTTGTACTATTACTGATTCATGATCACTACTTGTATAAATCTTTATTTCTTGTATTTCTTTATTTAATAGCTTATCTACTAGCTTTTCAATAAACCAAATTTGATCGATTCTTGATTCTGATCCTTTGATTGACTATGAAAACTCTTTTTTCTTTAGATTTATTAGTCTATAAGCATCTTTAAAATCTTGTTTTATTAACTACTTAAGCAAGAGATCTTGTTTAGTTATTTTTTGTTTAAAGTTTGCTAATCTATCTAGCTCTGTATTAAATACACTATTAAAGTTATTTATTACAATTATCTACATTCTTTGTGACTAGTTAATGTATTTCTTAATTATTATTCTTTGTATATTCCTTCTTTCTTCTTTGTTATTTGGTTACATATAAATTATTATAACTATTATTTTTATTTGTTTAAATATAAAATTTGCTATAATTACATATTCATTTATTCTTTTTATTCTTTTCAAATATTTTTTTTATTGTTTGTTCATAAGTATATCTATATCTTTTTTTTTGTTTAGATTTGCATTTGATCAAAAACCTTTGTAGTCATCCTGGAAGTTTGTTATAAAAAAATCTTCTTTGCTTAAGATATTTGTTTCTGCTATACCAATTATATCTATTTTATTATTCTTTAGCTATTTGTATAAAACTTTTATTTTTTGGCTATTTCTTTTAAGACCATTAATATTATATATTGTTATATTTAGATTTATTTTGTTTTTTGTATGGATTTTTCCTATTGGTATTTGCTGTTTTGATTTCTTTAATTGTTTTTTTGTTCTAGTTATAATTTTAATTTTTTTTAATTTTTTTTAACTTTTTTTAAGTTTTTGTTTAGTAATTTCTCTTTGTCTTTCATATAACTATTTAGATAATATAGGCTTTTTTATATTTGTAGCTAGGTTTTTATTTATTTTTTGCAAAAAAAATCTTGCTTCTATACTCTGTTTCTTTAATTCAACTGTGGCACCTTTAGAAATGATTCATCTCTTTATTAATTATATTTAAATTTTTTCTAATGTGATTGTTTTAAGCTTATCCAATATTAGTAGAATTCTTTATATTAATTTTTGTATTTGGTCTGATACTGTTTCTTCTTTTGATTGGTTTGATCAGTTCTTAATACTACTTTTTTTTTTGTATTTTTTTTGTATTTTTTTTGTTGTTTTCTGGTTTATCTTTAATTATATATATATTATTATTTTTTATGTTTTTATATTTTTGTTTATTAGCTTTAACTTTCTTTTTTATCTCTTTAGCATTTTTTCAAAATATCAGATTGTTGTTATATCTTATCATTTTCATTTTTGCTATATTCATTTCTTTTTCTGTTACAAAACTGACTGTTGCTAATCTTCTTTGATTATCATTTCTGTTGAGTAATATATATACTAATTTTACACTTCTGCTCTTTAAGCAGCATAATAGTAATATTTTTGAAACATTTACTAGAAGATTTTTTAGTTTTGTTGTAAATGAACTTTAAAGATCATGTTGACTATAATCTTTATTATCTTTGGATATTTTAGCCAATTTGTAATCTCCAATTGGTAAAGACCAAAAGATGGTTTCTACTTATATTTGGTCTATTTTAATTACTACAAAGGTTTTGAATTTGGATTTTTTAATTTGAATTACTTATGTTTTTTTGATATTTTTGCATATATTTTTTATTTCTTTCATATTAATATCTACTGTCAGATCTCAAATTATCTAATATTTATGCTGATTTTTATTGCAATTTGCTATAAAAGTTTCTTTTGTTTTCTTTATTATTTTTACTTTTGTTGGTTTTTTATTCTTTTTCTCTTTCTTTTAATTATTATCTTTTAGTTATTAATCTGCACTTTTGTTTTGACTATTGATTTCTTCAAGAATGAGTTTAAATTAGTCTTTTTTTTTTAATTCTATTTATTGCTATATCTCTACTGTATTTATAATTAAAGTCTACCTCTATACAATTATTTTCTTTTTTGAAAACTTCTTTAACTGTTTTTATATAGTAACTTTTTCTTAAAATCTATTGTATGTATTTAAGTCTTTCTTTTTTTAATTTTTCTGCAATATATATGCTGACATATTTGCTTTAAATAATTTTTCTTTATTATATACTCTATTTCTTAAAAACTATTAGCTATTTTTGATTATGTTTTAGAAGATAGATCAGTGTTATTATTATTTTAATCTTTTTTTTCTAACTCAATTATTTTTTTGTTAAGGTTTTCAATATTTTTTCTAATATTCTGAAGTATATTATCTTTTGATAGTTCTAAATCTTTTTTAACTTTTTTTCTTCTCAATTTTCTGTTTGATCCTTTTTTTGTAAAACTTTCTGCTTATTTTCTAACTAATTTAATAATATAGTTGTTTCTTTTGATTAATAATTTTCTCTTGTTATCTTTTTTTTAATTAAAGTTATTATGTTTTTTACTTTATTAATTCTTCTTATTCTTTATATTTTCTTTTAGTTCTTGGTAATTTCATCTTTATTTATATAGTTTTGATTTATAATTTTAATTTTTTTAACCAATTTGTCTGTTATATCTTCTTCAAACCATCTTAATTCTACTAATTTTAAGATCTTAAAAATTTGATCATAAAGTAACATATTATTTGATATAATATAATATAAATTATTTAATACTAGGTCTTTTGCAATAAATTCTATATTGCTTAGGCTTTTTGTAAGTGTTAATAGAATATAATCTAAAATTTTGCAATTTATATATTTTTAGTTTCTGTTACTCAGCTCTTAATATAATCTATAATATCTAATTTTGTATCTTATTTTTTAATCTACTATTTTATATTTGATTAGATTAAATTTTTGTTTAGATAATTTATATACATATGTGTACTGTATAGGTGTTTTTTAGTATACTTAATATTTTTTTAATTAAAAACATAGTTTGTTTTATTTGTTGTTTATTTATTTTTGTATAATCATGTAATTTAATCTTCTATTTTTTTAAGTTGATAACAAATTCTTTAAAATAAAAAAAAATTTTCTAAAAGACTTTGTAGTTGTTGTTAGTGAAAGTTGTTTGCTTTAGAGTTTTAATTAAGTACTTGTAATTTTTTGTACTAAATCTTTTTTCCTAAACTTGTAATAGATGTTTGCTATATAACTTTTCAATATATGCTTAATTAAATAATTTTGTTTTTTTTAGAATTAAGGATTAGTGAAAAGAATGTTTGTGGTAATTTTTGATTAATATTGTTTTCTAATTTATCAACTTGATCTAAAAAACTTATAATAATAATAATAATAATTATTATTATTGTGTTAAAGACTATACTTTATTGACTTTTATTAAGTTAGTTTAAAAAACCTATAATTATATTAAAATTTATTTGTACATTATTTTCTTTATTATTTATAAGTTTTTTATAAATAACATTTTTGAGATCTTTAGATTTTAAGACATTTTCTTGTATTTTACAAATGGTATCTGCATTTTGCTCTTAAAGTCTACATTTTATGCTTTTATTTATACAAATTAAACATTCTATACATATATTTTTATTACTATAAAATTCATTAATTTGGTTTTTGTTTTTTTTTTAGCAAGATGAACATTTTTTCAAATTTGAATTAATTAAGTAATCAGTTTTCATTAATGAAATATTTGATAAGAAAAGTTTTAGTGACACTTGCTATTATTGCTATGTTTGAACAAATAAATATCATCATAAATGACTAATCATTATATTACATATTTTTTCGGTAAATGATTTTAATTCTGAACGTAACTGATTTTGGTGGTCATGCCAGGTTCGAGTTAGATGACTTATAATCAGTAGTCAAATTTTTTGCCGTAATGAATAGAGCACTTTTACATGTTCAATAAAGATTTTCTGAATTTTATACGCATTCTTGAATTGTACATAGTCGATTATCGTTACACAATCGAAGAAATTATTTATATAAGGTAGTCTAAACGTTACACATCACGTGGATCAAACGTTTTAAATATAATAGTAGATAGTAGATAAATAGATACGTATTAAAAAAATATATAATATTTTTCTAATTTTAGCTTATACAAACCCTAAACTAACTTTAATATTAATATTTTGTAATAAACCTGGCTTTAAGCATCCTATTTTGGATAAATATAATATATATTATTTGCAAACACATATAAACAAATAGTAAAAATTATATAAAAAATTGACCATTATTGTGACGAAGATTCTTAATTTATTTTGCAAATGATGCCCAGAAATTAAACCGACAACTTCTTTATAATTAAATAAGCCTAGAAAGTAAAATTTGCCTAATGCTAAAATTTACATATAAAACTTCGGTGCGTCAATTATTTGACCTTATATTATCTACATGACAAAGCGTGTGATTTACTAGTCAGAATAAAAAACAATTTCGGTAGATTTGTTTCACAGGAATGAACCAAGCATAATGCATAATACAAAAAAATTATTTAATTACAGTTTAGAAAATTACCAAATATATACAGTATAATGACTGAAAGGTTGGGTTTGCTAACCATCAGCCGGAAGTCGACCCGGAATTATCTATCGCTATTATCGTTATTTTGTTGGTGATTTTCAGTTGTGAAAGTGTAAATACGTACATCAGTTTATATATGCTAAAAATCACGTATATCCATGAGACTTTAATTAAGGCACGAGGAAATGATAGTACAATATGATGGAATTCTAATCCAAATATGTTAATACCTCCGGAGCAATTTCCAAGTTAAATGATAAAAAAACGTTGCTATGTCAATTTAAATTATTATTCATTTTTTTTATCTTGAAAATTTTTATCAAGCGAAAAAATTACGCTTGTTTACCACAATTTCATACAAAATAATCTCATTCCGTCATCTCATTTTAACCTTTCTCCTGACGAAATACTAAATAAACATTTGGTAAAGATTTTTTCATATTAATACAATGGAAGATAACAAAGGTTTGGATGACATTGAATATGATGATGAATCAGTGGATGAGTACTTGGATAAATACTTGAATGGTGAAGGTGAAGGATCAGGTGGACATACCATAAAATTGGCTGATCCTGAAAAAACAACGCCTTTACATTATGTGGAGGAGGCTAAACAAGCCCTAGCCGATTTGAAAGCCATAATCAAAGAACCTGGTTGGAAAGGGGTAACGTCTAAATATACTAGGGTTTATAGTAAATTAGGATCTTTAAGGAATGAAAAGCTTCCAGTATTTATGGGTCAATGTGAAATACGGGGCTTTAGTCCGATGCCAATTTTTACAGTTATCGGAAGGAGAAAGCTTTGGGATGACTGGTAATGATTATTCATCTTATTTCATGGAATAAATGACGATAATAATAAATTTCACTTAATTTAAAAATATTATAGGTTTGAAGAAGGGAGTATAATTGAAAGTTTGGACGATACAACGAGCTTAACATATATGGTCATGCAAGGAATTTCTGGGTCAAGGTAAATCGTATATATTAAAAGATTGCATATGGAAATGCATTATTAATTTATTATTCTAAAAAGATAAATAAATAAAAATAAATAAAAACAGAGCACGAGATTTATCTTTGGTGGAAAAAGTTGAATGGAGTCCGAATGGAACGATCTATTTTGCATCTACATCGGTTAACACAGCAAAAGTACCACAAGTACCTGGTAAAATTCGTTCAACTCTCAGTCTCAGCGGTTGGATCCTTGAACCTACTTCTAGTAATCCACCTAGTACAAAAGTGACGTATATTCTTCAGCTTCATGTTAAAGGATGGATTCCTTCGTTAGTTGCGAAGAAGTATTTAGCAAAACGTCCTCTTATCATTAACAAAATCAACAGCTATTTGCAAAAACATGGTGCACCTGATATATCCCTTCCACCTACGCCGACAGGTTCCAAACATACAACATTGCTTATAGATAGGAATGAACTATACAATAATAAAGCATTGAAAGCTCTGGCTTCTATAGATAACGAACAAGATAAACCAAAAGATAATTATGAAGAAGAAGATTCTGAACTCATGCCTAAGATTCCTGATCAGTCACCTATTTTACCCTCGTCATCCGAACACGAGCCCTCGGTACACCAACCAACTTCATCATCTGAAAATCACTCTAACTTGCCTCAAGAATCTAAACCAGAATTAAAAGAGCTGATCATAGAAAAAGTGAATTCATATCCTCATCAAGACAACGCGTTGGAGGCTCTCAAGATACTTAAATCATTAGTAAAAGATCAAACCAGTTGGGAATTGTATTCAGAAAATAAAGGAATTAAGATTTATCAGAGGGAAAATCCCGGTAAATCTATACCATGCATGCGTGGGGATGTTACTATCTACGGAGATTTTCTTCCAGAAGACATTCGCACATATGCTACCTCTTTAGACGCAAGAAAATTGTGTAGGTTATTTACAAATCATTTTTAAAATTTGGTATAATTTTATATTTTATTGACATTAGTACACGACGTAGGGGATGATCGATATGAGGAGGGTACTACGATTGAACGATATAGTCTTACCGATGTGCTTACTAGAACGGCTATGAAGGGCACCTTCCCCATCAGGTAAAGATGTGAATCCTCCCTAAATGCACCTTCTATATCCAGCTCTTTGTAATATACGGCTAAACCTATTTCCTGTCTTTAATTATGAGTTACATAGTTTTAATTGTTTAATAAATATAGATGTTATAGATTACACATTTGATACATTCATTAGTTGAGCAAACTATATTCTCATTATGTTAATTACCTAAATAATTTTATTTATATTTTAGTGGTCGTGATTTTTCAATGATTAGTACGGTTGATCGTGACCCGGATGGTACAATTTGGTGTGCAACCACGTCGATTGTTGACCCCAAAATTCCCGAGAACAAAAAATATGTTCGAGCAGAATTAAGTCTTGCTGGATGGGAATTACGACCTGTTTATGACAGTGTTGGTAATAGAATCGCAATTGATGTTAAATATATTGTGGATACTGATATTAAACTTGAATCAGTTCCAACGAGAATTCTCAAGTCAATATCAATGCAAACACCAATGTGCGTTGCTAAAATTGATGAATTATTGAAAAAAATTGGATTTCCGCCATATATTCGACATACAACCGGGACAATAATAGAAGAAGAGTTTAATACCAAAGATTTTCAATATGATTTAACATTATCAAATACAGAAGAAGAAAGGATTACTGAACTTCGAACATCTAATAAAATGTATCCTAATGGCTTTAACATTTCTACTAAACCGGAGAACGTCAAGGTTGAATTGAATTCAGATGATAGTGGAGTTGTCTGTATCATTGTTCCTGTTGATATTAATGCAGAAAAATTACAAATAACAATAGTTAAAAATACATCTAAAGATGTTCAAATTACTTGTAATGGAAACCAAATATTAAGTATGAAATCTAAGGACGAAAATAAGGACAATGAACTTAGCAGATCAATCAAGGAGAATTCAGATGTTACGCCAATGCAAACTGAAATCACCCAAAATTCCAACTTTTCTAAAGGTAATCGAATGTCATTATTTTATTTTTTACATTAAACACGCATTTATTTATTCAATCATTAAAATTTATTCTTCAAACCCATCAAGGTCAAGATCAACAAATAAGCAAGGTAAATATGCAAAACAATTTGTAATTGATAAACCGTTAATACATTAAATTTTCATTTTTCTTACAATAGGTTGATGTACAATCAGATATAGCACGCGAAGTATCTCAGGTACATCAAAATCAACAAACACAGTACTTTTTCGTCATTGACAAGCATTAATGCTCATAAAACTTTTCATTTCTTAAAACAGGCCAACATACAACCGGATACCTCCAAGAATAATATTGATATTAACCGTAATATTAGTAAGAATGGTGATAATGTTGTAGTACCCAAAGAATCATCGAAAATGTACAAACAAAGGAGTGACCTAATAGTTTTTTCAGAACAAATCAGATTTGATTACAAGCAACTTGGGCTAATGTTCGCATCTATGTTATTGGCATATCAAGCTGGAAAATTCAGCGGGTGTTAACATTAATTTCTCAAACCATTGATATGAATAATGGTTTTAATTACTCATAAATAAGCGTATAGCAAATTTTTATATTATTTATTTTTTTATAATACAAGATAGTTAATTAATCATATTAGTTTTGAATCTTGAGGTTCAGAATTTACATTGTTATATATATAAATTTAAATTTAACCGATGTAACCCTTTAGTTTTGTTTAAGAGTTTTACATTATTAAATTATAAATAGAAATATTTTTAAATTTAACCTATAGTGCTTTTTAATTTTACCGCTACGAAGCAGAATGCAAACTTTGCATATACATCATATTTATTGGTGTGTTTTCTGCGCGCATGAAAGGATGTACTTTAAATTTTCTGCTACGTATTTGGAAAAATCTTATACGGTCACGCATAAAGAAGTTACATGTGATGAGAATAAGTTCTACGTATTGTGAATTTGATAGGTCGTTATTTAGGAAGTATTATGCATAACAAACAAAAAATAAATAAATTTTACATGTTTTACATGCCTTTATATAGCACCAATAATCGTCGTGTAAGCATAAGATTCCGTAATATCCATAACCGTCATACTTTTATATAGCAAGAATAAGATACTCTTTTCTTTTCTTTTTTTTTTTTTTTGTTTTCAATCAAGAAACGAATTATCCGACCGTGCATATGTCATCATACTTATTCATTCATTTATTTTCACGCATATAGCACGCAAAAAACGAGATGGAGTATTCTACATTGTGCTGTGTGTGTAAAATTACTCCTGTAGGTGTAGATAAACTATCATCAGAACCGAGGAGTAGATTTTGTTCAGAAAATTGTAGAAAAGAAGCTTATGCTTTTGGTTTAGTCGATAGAGAAAAATGTCGTCATTGTGGGATTTCACCAAGATTGACCCTTTCAAATGGTAGGAAAGTTGATTACTGTGGAATGGCTTGTAAAAACGAGGCTGAAAAACAAAAAAGTAGTGGAAATTCTAAATCGTCATCCTACAATAATTCTAGTAATAATAGACGTTCTTCAGTAAATTTAACGTTGACACCAGACAAACCTGCTTATCAACCTAAATCAAAACCAACCCCTTTACTTCAGAATAATGGCCCTAATATTAAAGCTAGTAAAAGTTATGATAATTTGTTATCAACCTCTTCACGTCCTAGTCCAAAGCGTAGCTCCACATATTCATCAGACGGTTATTCAAGGACTTCATCTAATAATAATAATAATAATAATAATAGTCTTTCACCAGGTTCACCAACTCCAATAAAAAGAAATTCATTAAATGGCTATTCTTCTCAATTTTTAACCGCACCATCACATCATAATTTCCAATCACGTTCATCTCATAATAGTCCTTCTTTACGTTCACCAACTCCAACGAAAAGAAATTCGATTAATGACGTTGATCCTTTGATTTCAGTTAAACCACCATCTCCAAAGTCACATAATTCACATAGTAATCACTCTTCACGTACACGTTCACGTTCACGTTCACCAACTCCAATAAAAAGACGTTCAATCAATGATATTGATCCCTTAATTTCAATTACACCATCATCTCAAAATTCGAACAATCATCTCTCCCCACGTTTGCCAACTCTAACCAAAAGACGTTCCACCAATGCAATCGAACCACTTATTTCAATTTTACCATCATCTCAAGATCCATATAGTCAATTAAATAATTCGTCGTCTTTTATAAATCCTCCACCACCTTCGCATTCTCGTCGTTCGAGACCTAGTTCTTACGTCCCTACGATTCCACTGATCAGTTTGATCCCACCATCTTATAATACAACTCATACTAATTATAATAATTACACCACAAAGAAAGTCTGATATTATTTATAATTCCACATTAGATATTGAAATGCAAAGGTTTAGTATAGGGTTTAATTAAACTGCCGGTTAGAATCAAAAAAGTTCGATCATTTTTTCATTTCTTTCTCTTTACGTATATTGATTATACGTATATGTCTGATGGAAGGTGTGATTCATAATTTAGTTAAAACAAAAAAAAAAAAGAAAAAAAAAGAAAAAAAGGAAAAAAAAGAACATCGTTATTTTATTTAATATGAATTATACATTATATGAGGAATAATGTTTTTAATGTCTTTCTAGTTTGATCCCTAGCAATTTTATAAAAAAGAACTTTTTAATTTTGGCGATTTATTAATAGATCTTGGAAAGGAAAAAAAAAGACAAGGTGACGATGTTTGTAATGTAGTTCAATATTACTTCCTATGATGTTAGATTTTAAAGGATAAATCTTAATAAATTATAATTAGTCATGATCAATTGTGTCCAAGAGGATTGTGTGAAAACATATAGTCAACCATAAGTGTGCATTTGTAGAAAGAGTACATTTAAAGAGAATAATTTTATAAGTGTCATTAGTAGTTGGGACTGAGACATAGAGTGCAATAGTGCAATTACAGAGGATGTGCATTTATAAAGCGTGCATATATGGAGGTCTGACTGTATAGCCAAATGTTATCGTTATACTTTCAAATACAATCTATTCTCTGGGGGGACTCACCAATCCCAGAGCCGGCAATCCAATTCTGCATTAGAAACCGACTAGTAAAATCGAAACGCGCCATTAACCGAAAAAGACAGGACATCTTTAAACATATAAAAATATAATACCCCATAGTAGAAATAATGTGTTAGAAACCAGCCCCGAATAAATAGTCATTCAATAGAATAATCTAGGTTAGTCAACTAATTGATTTTAGAAATAGAAAAATACATGTAATTGAAACGTCTATTATAATTTAATAAATAAAACGAACTCCAATGACGTCCCGTGGCAATTAGGCCAACAGGGGAAAAAACAATCTATTCTCGTTAAGCGCACGATTTGTTTATCGACCATAGCCTTATTATATTCATACAGCATTTCGTAAAGCTTGGCTTAGAACAAAAATTAAATGAATGTCTTAAAATTTAGGTGTTCATTTGCGCGTATGTAACCGAAGTCATCTAAATACTTGTTTATCGCGTGTCTATGAATTAAATAATCAATGCGACTTCCAATTTTCCATTTGCGATGAAATATATTCTTTGGTCGTAAGAATCTAACTGCTTTTTATTAGCATATGACATTAAAAACATTAATTTCTTTATTTGTCTAAAGGTTTACTCAGGTGCACAAATTATCAAAATTATTCACTGTCTCTTGAATTTGGTCATCCTTCGACAAAAACGTGGAACGAAATTTCAGGTGGCGCCGTCGTCTTGGTTATTATTGTGGATCACAGTATGTGAGCTCACACAACTCTAAAAGATTTGCAAGGATACAAATAAGTTATCAAAAAAATTAGGATCTTTATTTGAGTCTGCGAGACAAATAATACCTCATTATAGAAAATATATGACCATATAACCTTTATAACGGCAATGAGCCAATGTAGAATTGGATGAATTGTAAAAATGCATGACTTGTATGGGTCATCAACAGCTTGTTAGAGACATTGGCTTGTTAGAATCTGCTTTTCCGAGGTCAAAAGTATCTACAAAGTCTCAAATTGTAGATACTATTTGGAAATACTAATTATTGAAATGTTGACATTCAAAATTTTATTGTTTAGGAACTTTTGATAATCCTGTAAATATATGTAGTGCATCAAAAAGTGTAAAATTGATAATATTTCGTTTACTTTCACCAAATTCCATTATACACTGTTCATGTAAGTATATTAGAATATGATCTAAATTTATGTAGTGTAGTATTCATGGGATAAGTGAATTTCTTAATTTTGGATATGTTGTGGAAACGAGATTTAAGTGGATTTTAGAATTTTAGAATAGAATTTATTTTATATGAACTTACACCCTAACTCTAAATTCGTTAAATATTTATATCTCGCGCCTGTAAAAGATTTGATCTCATTCTATAATTCATTATCTGTTATTACCTTGATTCCAGTCATTTTCATATACACTTTGTGCTTAAAGATTTAACATTTGATGCTTTGCAAAGTTTGTTATCCCATGTCTTTAACTATTACTTGGTATTGCTTTGGTTTGTTTTTAATGGTACGTACGCACATTTGTACTACTAATCTATCTATCTATTTATCATAAAATGGAAAGCAGTTAATGCGCCCATAATTTACTTGTACAACATAAATATGGTCTTGTAATAATATGATTGCTTCTATACTTGATTGCATCGAAAAAGAAATGAAACTTGGGGCAAACATGTATGCACGTAGGCAATATATTTGATATAAAAATGGTGCACAAGTGTACACACAGCAGTAAATATATCATTGAATTTCTTGCAGTTAGAATGTACGATTTTCCATAACCATTATATGATATTCCATATAACTTATAAATGTTTATTATATTTATTTAATATATTAAATAAATAAAGAAACCATATTCATATAACAATAATTATATTTTTCATCAATATTGAGCGGAAAAATGATACGTATGTAAATGCACAATATTAGGAGGCTTTCCTTGATATTTAATTTCATAATTTTAGAAATATTAAAGAAACCAGCGTAATGTATGTACGTATTTAAAAGTTAAAGAAGAATCTAAATGTTATGGTTCGCCTTTTTTAGTAAATTTAAAAAAACAGTTTTAATTCCACAATACCATATCGATATTGCGATAACGAAACATCAAGTTGTGCAAAAGTACATAGAATGTTTGTCAATCGATAGTTTATTTATATTGGAATTTTTATGATTAACAAATAGAATTTAGCCACGCAAAATATGATTTCCATGGCAGGGAAGATCTCCCATATAATTTCCTATTTTAAAATTTCGGGTATTCTTTTATTTAATATAAATCATGTATAAAAGCAGGTTTATAACTTTATATCATTTTCATCAAAAATTATCAAATTTTGTATGTTTTCTAATGATTTCGATTCATTTTGATGTTTGGCAAAATGACGATTACAATGATGATAATGACAATCGTTCTTCTAATTCACTTCAATCAAATAATGATTTTTTAGAAATGGATACTTTAAAACGTCGGCACCTTACTACTGCAATTAATCAACAATTTCCTAAAGCTGGTTACGAACAAGTTCCTTTTGACCCTATTGACTTTGATGAAAATGGAAAATTATATAAACCGATACGTTCACCCAAGAATAAGGTGGTACTGAATCTCGCTATATCGCTGTGATTCGATGGCATTCTGATTTAAACGATATTTCCATATTAAAGGTTTTAGCTATTTGGAAACAACATAATGATATCATTATTCCGGCATTCTTTACTCTTTTATCTTTTTGGACGAGATATTACTTGATTTCTTATTCAAAGTTCGTTGTTTGGGATGAGGTATTTGTTAATCAATTCATTTCTTTGCATATCATAAAAGAATTCTATTAATTTTCTGTTTCAACATTTGATTTTTGCAATATCATTGAATTTATATACATTATTATATTACCATTATCCAAAAAAGGCTCATTTTGGCAAGGTAAGATGACGATTCTTGGTTGAATATATATCTAACTTATATATCGAACTTTATATCTAATATATCCTACTTATATATCTAACTTTTTTTACGCGTTTAAAGTTTGGTTCACATTACTTAAAGAGAGAGTTCTACTTTGATGTGCATCCTCCACTTGGAAAGATGTTGGTTGGTTTTGCTGGATTTCTCGCAGGATATAATGGATCATTCGAATTTGGTTCCGGAGAAGCATATCCCGCAGACGTAAATTACACTTTTATGCGGATGTTTTTTGCATCTTTCGGGGCTTGGATGGTTCCTTTAGCATATTTCACTTCACTTGAACTAGATCTCTCTCAACATGCTGTAATCTTGACGACATTAATGGTTTTACTTGGTATGCGGTTTTATTTATCATGGGGGGGGGTTTTTTGATGTAATTTTTTCTGAAATATTTCTTTTTAGATACCGCGTACCTTTGTATTAGCCGATTTATTTTGTTGGACTCTATGTTGTTATTTTTCACTTTCACTACCGTTTTTTTCTTGACAAAATTCCACAATCAACGCAATGAGTAAGCATTTCTATTCATTTATTATCTTAAAATATCGACAACTAACTGCTTTATGTTTTTTTTTTTAGCCCTTTTTCTTTAGATTGGTGGTTATGGCTTATTCTTACTGGAGTATCTATTGGATGTGTAACAAGGTTAGTAATTCATTTCATATATGCTGTCTTTTTTACGCTTGTATAAACATTTATGGTTTTTTTTTTTTAAAAAAAAATATATATATATATAGTGTCAAATGGGTTGGTTTATTTGTTACTGCATTAGTTGGCTTATATACGATTGAGGATTTGTGGGATAAATTCGGTGAACTCAGCATGCCAAAGGTAGAGTTCTTGATCATTAAAATAATCACATAATATTATTTAAGTTTACACATAATTTAAATTTTTTTTTTTTTTAATACTTATTATAATAGAAAATTTACCTCAAGCATTGGATTGCAAGAATCATTTGCTTGATAATATTACCAATTCTATTATATATGCTTAGCTTCGCATTACATTTCGCTATTCTCCATAATAGTGGTCCAGGAGATGCACAAATGAGTTCCTTATTTCAAGCAAGCTTGCGTGGCAATAATTTTTACGAAAATCCTATAAGTATGTATTTTTTCAATTCATCTTTTTCATTATTGAATTAGGATTAAAATATAAATACTATTTTAGAGGTGGCATATGGTTCAAGATTCACCCTTAAGAACATGGGATATGGTGGTGGCCTTTTGCATTCTCATGTTCAAACTTATCCTAGTGGATCGAAACAACAACAAGTAACATGTTACCATCATAGAGATACAAATAATGAATGGATTATTAAAAAACCAAGAGAATTACATGTAGAAAACGATACGGAGATTGAATTTGTAAAACATAATGATGTTGTCCGTTTGTTTCATGCGCAAACTGGTCGAAATCTTCATAGTCATCAAGTAGCTGCACCTGTCACAAAATCTTTATATGAAGTTAGTTGTTATGGTAACGAAAAAATTGGTGATAAAAATGATCACTGGGTTGTTGAAGTGATAGACGATCTTTTTGAAAAAACGAATAATCTTCATTCGTTGACAACTCGTATAAGATTTCGTCATCAAGTCCTGGGATGTTATTTAAGAGCTGCTAATTCTATTTTGCCTCAATGGGGATTTAAACAAATTGAGGTAACATGTGATAAAAAGAACAATCCATCTGATTCTCATACGCATTGGAATGTTGAGCATCATTGGAATGACAAATGTAATATATTTATTTCATAAATTATAATGATCAGAACTTTGGTTTATTTTTAACTCTATCTTGCTAACTTATGCTATTATCATATTCTAGTGCCTTCTGGTGGTAGTTCTCATTATAGAACACTGTTCTTACATGATTTTTGGCATTTAAATGTTGCTATGTATACTTCTAATAATGCGCTCGTTCCTGATCCTGATAAAGAAGATATCCTTGCCTCTCATCCACTACAATGGCCTATCTTACAAGTGGGCATTCGAATTTGTGGTTGGGATGATAATGCGGTTAAGTACTATTTACTTGGAAACCCTGCTGTGTGGTGGTCAGGTACTGCTTCATTGGTTATTTTTGTTTTATTGTTTGCTTGGTATTTGATTCGACGACGACGACAGTACCGCGATTTCACACAAGGTAATTCTTTTTTTAAGTTTTAGTATTCATTAATTATTCTTGGACACCGTTTTTTAATAAATATTTATCTTTTACAAACAGCGCAATGGTTTCACTTTTTATACGTGGGCAAATTATGTTTTATCGGATGGGTACTTCATTATTTACCATTTTATATTATGGGCCGTGTTACGTACCTTCATCACTATTTTCCAGCTCTTTATTTCACCATTCTTATGTGTGCGTTCGTTTTGGATCATTTTACTTCAACCTGTAATTCAATAATTAAGCATATTGTATTTGGTTTTAGTTATTTTATGGTAATATCGGTGTTTTTATATTTCAAGGATATTGCATTTGGATTCGATTATCCTTCTAGTGAGCTTAAAGGAAGGAAATGGCTTAGCACATGGAATCTTGCAGATTAAATTTTGGCATTTAGGCATTAACTTATGATACGAAATTTGATAATTTTTTTTTTTTTATTTCTTTAAAAATTAGATATATAGATGCATATATAGATTTTGTAACATTTTGTAATAATAATAATAATACCTAGTTATCTTAGCATCATAACACAAAAAAATGTAGCAACGTTATGAATAATCTTTATGATATCATTTCAAACTTTCACATGTTGCTGTATATTAATTTCAGAATTTTATAATACATATAATTTCTACGTATTATTAAACGTTCAATGTTTAAAAATTAAATAAAAAAACTGTTTAACCATTTAAGATTTCGTACGTATGATCAACCGGTAATCGGATCTTTAAAGTTTAACTATCCACATTTGGTTGTTAGATTTGTTTCAAGAAAATTGATCAAAATAATTAATCTACTGTACATTGCATTACATGATAATACCTTTTTTAATAGTTTTTTTTTTATTTCAACTGAACTTAAACTATACTAAACTTTAAAAATTTTATTAATAAATTCGATTTAAGAGTAGGGAAGATTTAAATATTTTTTGGTCTAGTGTACTCTAAATCCTAAAAATGGGTCAATCTAATTTTACTGATTAGCAGTAGTAATCCAAATCGTTAGTTGAAAAATCAACTGGTTAACAACTTTAAAACTAATCGATATCATCAACTTCATCATCAACTAGTTCAATTCCGTTTATTCAGCTGATTCGTGTTGATTATGTAACGGTAACGTCTCTAACGTTACATATTTAAGAGGATCAACCTGTACTGGTCTCAAGATCAGAGATTTGCAATTTTACCTTTACTATAATGTAAAATTTCAACTAAAAAAAAACTGATTATATCCAAATACAGAAATACATTGTCATTAACTGTGTATCTAAATGATTCATTACAGCAATCTGGCAAAAATTGACCGACCGAATATGGCTGATTCGATAAGCTTTGATTCAACAAATATTCGGTCGGTCAATCTTTGCCAGATTTTCCAGAATTTATGAAAACCGTTTCCTTTTTTTTTGACTATCAGTTGTGATCCGGAAGAACGTAAATTACACTGATGGTTGCCATCATATGAAGATCTAAAAAAGGCCTCTTCTGTTGTGATTAGGAACATAAATTACACTGATGATTACCGTCATTTGAGGGTCTAAAAAGAGCATCGGTTTGATTATCGGCTGTGTTTTGGAAGAACATAAATTACATTGCCATCATTTGAAGGCCTAAAAAAAGCATCCTTTAATTATCGGCTGTGATCCGGAAGAACATAAATTACACTTATGATTCAGGTCATTTGAAGGTCTAACAAAGGCATCTATGTAAAATTTGTTCAGAAGTGATTTAAAAAAATTTTTTTTATATGGGACTATACATTAATTTGATTTACATAGTACATCGAATACCCTAACATCGCCTATCCAAATAGCTTTAAAATTATGTCATTCTGCTTGTTTTCTATTGACGACAGCCCACGCGTATTGATTAATGTTAGAGTTAACATGTGAAGTCGATTTAAAGTTTACCCTCTTTCGTATAGAAGGTTTGGGCTCAATTTATTGCATGTTTGAAGATTCATCGTTTGACTTTAAAAATAACTGTTTAATTACCGGATCTAATAATATTATAATAAGGTTTTCATTGAAATAACTGTTTTTTTTTAGAATTTCCTGTAAAAATCGATGATTTAATGTAGAGATTGGAACCGCCTAAAATTTTTCTTAATTGTTTAACCGTTTGATTTGACCGGCATTAAAATAATTCCGGCTAGGGATGTTAAATTGCGAATCCAGTCCGGTCCGATCCTAGGATCTAAAAAGACAGTCCTGGACTCGATCCTTTAAATCACATGAAAATACAATACATTTTATAGGACTTAGATCCTGTATCAGATCCTGAATTGAATCTATCGAATAAGTTCATCCAATCAAATTAATTTTGTATTATCATCATATTTCAATTCAGGATCCAAGTCCTATAAAATGTATTGTGTTTTCATGTGATTTAAGGACCGAATCCTTACCGATCCTGCAGGTCCTTGTAAGGACCGGTTAGGATTCGATCCCAAAAGACCGATTAACATCTCTAATTCCGGCCCACGACCAACATAATTCTGCCCGAAACTATGGTGCAATTTTTAAACTGTTAAAGGTTCCAATCCCTAATTTAATGTCATTTGATTCTCACATAAAGATCATTAATAAAATGCAAATATTTTTTCAACTATTTAATTGAAAATTTTTACTTGATGTTTCGAACGTTTATCTGACCCCGATTTTCTAAGAGATAAACAAGCAGTGTAAGCCAATTATAAAATTAACATAGCCTAAAATCTGAATTAAAAGTAATTTTTAACGGGAAAGGGCTAAATCTAAAAAAAAATCAAAACCTTTGTATAACAAAAGTCTTAAAATAGGACTCTACCACCCTAATTGCTAAGAATGTTGATTTTAATAAAATATATCGATCATAAGAATAAATATTCGTTCATTAGTACAGAGTATTAAAGAGCGGATATATGTTTTTACACACTTTAGATTATTGATCAAAATGGAAGATTTTACAAGACTGGCCTTTTGTGTCTACATGATTGATTTTAAACCTAAGAGATAGACGATATTGGTTTCTTACGCCTATGTGACTTATTTTGAGAATCTTGCGGTTAAAAAAGTTGGTGGAAACTGTTTTACTACTGCTCTACGGTTTGCTAATCCAATTGCTTTAAATCAAGTAGGATCTCTTGCACTAATTTTATTTTCTTTGGATTCTCAACTAAAAAGGTACAAAAAATTAGTTTAAGTTCGATCACAAATGTATGAAAAAAGCACGAACCTTGGACATACAAACAGCGCCAATTAATTCTAAGCCCAATGCAAAATATTCAATATCTTCAAGGATCTCAAAAAATTCACTTTTAGTAAGACGCATAATGTATCCAGCTGGATTATCTAATGACAATATCATCAGAACGCATCCTATTTAAATAAATGTTTAGTAACAAAAACATGTAATAATAAAAAATTCTTTGGCATACTACCATGAATATAACCTATTGTTGGATTGTTGCAAAGCCCAATAAACATATCACGAAGCATCCTCAGTAATTCAACTCACATTCTATGAGCCATTTAGACCTATTCTTGCCTTTATAACGCTTTCCTACCTCTGACCCTCCGAATTCTAATATCCAACCATTAGTATTCTTTCTGATAATTGCATCTGCACGTCGTCCGTATGCCTTTCTATCTGTATGTTTGCGTTTTCTATTCTTTCTGTTACTATTAGCAACGCTGCAAGACTCCCTCGATATTGATGATAATGTAAATTAAATAATAAAAAGATATAATAATAGCAAGTAGAGTAAATTATTACCTGATGATATTCACAAATGCTATATCCCCAAAGGCCTTGTCAATAATAGGACCCACAAATTAACATTATACCAATTTTCAAGATGATCCACACTAAGTGCGTTGGGTTGCCTTTCAGTGCGTTGATCATATTAACAGTAGATGGGCGATCGATTTTAATCCCTAAATCCTTTAAGAGATAAGATGACACAACACTTCCAGAAGATCCACTATCAACTATTAGGGGCATGAACCCTATAAACTAGCAATGCCTAAAGGTTATGTATGGCATAAACTATTGTGTTGATTATAAAGTCCTTTTCTGGATGCGTTGAAAATTGTGCTATTACTTTACGGATATCATCTATGTTTGTATATAAAAATAACAGTTAATATATTTGATAATAAATTGTTATCAAAGATAGAAAACCTTTTTAAATGCGTTAAGGCAATCTTTGTCAAGTTCTGAATCATCTTTAACATTTGTAAACCTGATTTCTCTATTTCATCATCTGTAAAAAGTTCCATGAATGCTGGTCATCTGTATTTACACTGAATGAATGAAACTTGCTGTTTTTAAGACGTTATACGATAATTCCTAAATAGTAAAAAAAAAAATAATGAAAATAGTGATAAAAAACAAAAAAAAAGTCATTTCTTAAATTGATAAATAAATATCAATATATTAATGCACTCAATGGATATGAATTATGCCTATAAGAATCTTAAAATACAATACGTATACAACTTCTCTGTTGCATAACCCTATTTAGCGCAAAAAACAATGTATTAACGCCTAATAGGCACATAACTTATATGTGGTTATGTACATAAGAAAAAATCTTATGATATACGATTTCGAAAAGCAGGGCGTACAATAAACTTTCTAGTCGCATAATCACGTTTAGTGCAATGTCTTATGCCAACCAACGGACACATAACAGGTACATAGTTATGCATAATTCTTATAGTATACGATTTCAAAGAGCAGGGCATACAATAAACTCTTCATCACATAGTCTTATTAACGCAAAAAAAAACAAAGATATATTCCAGTTATGCACATAAGAATGGTATAAGATTTCAAAGAGCAGGGCGTACAATAAACTCTCAGTCGCATGATTCCATTTAATGCAAAGAATACATCAATGTCTAATGCCGAATAATGGACACATAATTCATAAAGTAAACGTTATTACGAATCACTACCTTGAAATTTTTTAATAACTCGGTTGTGGCCGTCTTGATTTCTGTTGAATCATTTTTCACAGCTGTCTCGAAATTTTTCTTGAGGTTTAAAAACTTTTTTCTAAATGATCAGACTGTTGTCAAAACTAGAAAATATTATAAACTCATTATTTGACGTGTTTTTATAAACAAATATCGATATGTAAACAACGATCATGTGATGATTACGTCTTCATAGAACGACCTCTCAAAAATTATTTCTGTAAGTGATACAAGCCCAAAAAGGAAAATTTTCTATGTAGATCGCAAGGTCAGGTGTAATCTTTGTGTAATGTGTAACGTGAGAACGACAGATTTTTCAAAACATCGCCAGTAACTCAAAATTTTGTCTAGGAAATCACATTTTATATGTTTTAATAAAAAAAATTACTGCCAAATTTTACTATATAACTTTTCTAATACCAACCTTTAACATGCTAATCAAATCTTATGTACATTTAGTGAAATAACAATCATTTCCTTTTTTGGGCTTGTATTATTTGTAAAAAATAAGTAAATCCCAAAAAATAGTAGCTGGACAGACCTGCTGGCTACATATAATTTCAGATTTGATTGTCAGCAACTTTAAAGTCTATTACAAATCAACTTAAGTAATTCATAAAATTTAATTTATTACTATTATATAAACAAATAATTATACTATCATTAATGTTATAGCAAAAGTAAATTTAAAACAGTGAAATTAAATAATAAAAAATTTTTTTTTTTTTTATATCGAACCAACAAATAAAAGAATACATAGGCTGTTATTCTATTTAAAACAAAGAAGACTTCTTGAATAAAAAAGAAATTGCAGTAACAAAATGTTTACAATATTGAAACAATATTAAGTTGGCATGTTCAAAGAATAATTAAGAACAACCTAATGTAATAATTAGTTATTTAAATGTTACTAAGATGATGTATAAATTACTAGCTTTATTAAATAATACTAACAAATTTTATAAAAGTAAAAATAAAGAATTGAATATAAATTTTTATATTAAATTGTCATTTTTATTTGATATTATCTTAAAGAATAATGAATTGTAAAAAGAAAATATTGAATTTAAAATTAATCATTATATTGTTTTTTTTTTATTTTTGAGAAAAATAGTTATTTATGAGTTTATTATACTAAATATTAAAAAAAGAATTTTTTTTAAAAAAAATATTTTTGTAATTGTTAAATTAAGTTTAAAAAACATTATACAAAATATTTTGAATTAAATAAATAATATAATAAATATTTTATCAAATTTAAACTTAATCAAGATCAAATATTCTTATAAGATATTATATTCATAACTAAGACATGTTTTAATAATATTTGAAATTAAAAAATTTATTTATAATAATTTGAACTTTTGTATTCTTAAAATTTGATATCAAATTTAAAATAATTACATTAATAGATATAAAAACTTTAGTATTTAACAAACTTATTATTAGTAGTTTATAGAATCTTATAAAGTATATATATTATTAAAATTTTAATCTTTTATTATTAACTAAATGTTTATTAAAAAAATTTTATTTTTTTGTATTAAGGTAACCTCTTTGAACTTTTAACTTTTATTAATAATTTTTTGGTAATATGATTTAGTAAACCATTACAGAAGAGTATACAATTGGTTATATATATAACTTTTCTATATTACCTACTTAAGGAGTTTGTTCAAAGGTTTCCTACCAATTGTTATATCTAACATCTCTGCTTAGATGTTTTACTTTAAACTCTAAATTTGCAAACTATGTTAATTTTACTAGGTTATACTCAGATGTTTAGATTATTGTCTTAATTTTAGAACTATTTTATCCTCAATATTAAAAAAATTTTTTTTTTAGTGTTAAGGTGACTTTTTGGGTCTTTTAAATTTATTTAACAATAGTAAATATGGTTCAGTAAATCACTACAGGAAGAGTATACAATTGGTTACATATGTAACTTTTCTATATTATCTATTTAAGGAATCTGTCAGAAGGTTTTCTATCAATTGTTATACTTAACACTTCTGCTTGGGTATTTTATTTTAAACTCTTTGAACTTGCAAATTTGTTAACTTTATTAACTCAACCTTAGGATTATTATATTCTTAAGATAAATCTTCAGAATCTTCTATATCTATTTTTACAGCTAACTTAAATATTGCTATGGCAGAATCAACACTTGCAGTTAGAACTTAACCATTAAACTACTATGCCCTTGTAGAGTTTACTTAAACTTCAGCATCTACTTCACAACATAATCTTGATACTTTAGTATACTTCTGTCTTTTTATTTGCTTTTTATAAAACTTCCAATCCAAATAGCCTATGTAAAATTATGACTAGTCTATTAGTATATCAGGTCAGCCTAATATTCTTTTTTTCTGATTTGTTTCAGTAATCTGGTTGGTGGCACCTCTGAGATTTTCAAACTAAAGATTCTTGTCTATCTGGTTACTATGACCAGATATTATAACCTTGATATTTATTTTTCCAGGCTAGCCTTTACAGTAAAGTTATCAAAAATCCAGCTATCTCTTTATTTGGATCTTTTTAATAGACTTTTTGTTATCTAATTTTAATAGATTTACATAGTCACAAGGATTTATCTAGTGTTTACACTATCTGATTTGTTGATTTGCATTTCTTTGTATAACTTTAACATTGCACAAATGCTACATAACCTGCTAGTCATACTGGTATAACTAGCATTACAGATATTCTAACTCAATTATTAGTAATAGTTATTATAATATGAATATTATATAGATAATTATTCAAATTTTTACTATTAATAGAATTTGAACACCTAATCTACTACTTGGAAGATTGACAACCTGATTGCTTCACTAGGTCACTACACTCCTAATATTAAAAGAATTTAATTAAGTAATTATCATATATAATCTTAATTATTTTATATCTATTTTCAGATTTTTAATTTTATTATTTAATTAATTAATTAATTAATAATAAATTTGATATAATTGTAATTAATATAACTTATAATACCAATAATTTAGCATATAAATTATATTTATTTTTAGATATAATTAATAATACAGAATTTTTTCTAAGTTACCTTTTAATTTTAGCAGAAAAAAATTGCAATATATTAATTATTCTTTTTTAATAAATATGATTTCTAAAAAAACATAATTTATAATTTTTTTTTATATTTATTAATAAAGATTATAATAAAATTAATGTAGTATAGGCTATTTGGTCTAAAGCTTATTTATAGTTATATATTTGGCATATGCTTTAAGCAGTTAAATAACAATTAGTTTTTAATAAAACAAATATATATTATAGTTATAATTCAAAAAATATGTATTAAGAATGTTTTATAATTAATTAGAATTAAAATTTATAAATAATTCAAACTTATAAATATTGTGTTTTTTGAATTTACAGAAATCTATAATTAAGCTTATTGAAAATTATTTAAAATAGCATATATTATTACTAAAATTAGATAAAACTTTTGTTACAAATATAAATAAAATTTAAAAGAAATATATTAGTAAAATAATGTAATTTTGTAAAAATAACAACTTAATTTAAATATAAATTTACTTTTAAAAGAAGTGATTTTCAAAAAAAAAATACAAATTATAAATGAGCAATTGATAAAAAATTAGTTATATTAAACTAAAATTTATAATTGAATATTTTTTTTTTGATATTAAGATGAGGTCATGCCCTCTAGACTTTATTAATATATTTTGTTATAGCTAGTACAAATTTATTATATATCATCTATTACTATATATCTATTTAGACATAGGATTCAGACATATTTATTTGTGACCTAAATTTATCAGAGTTTTGTATTGTATTCTACTTACATCTAACTTGAATTTTTGTTTTATTACTAATTATATTAGATAATTTACATATTTACTCTATGTCTCACAACCTATTTTTAACAACTTCCAAATTGGTTTACTAGGTTATTTATTTCTTTTTACTACTATTTTTTGTTTGCCCAAAGGGTATCTTTCTAGCATGTATTTCAAGTCAGGTTTCTGCTACCACTGCTAACTTTCTAATTCAAATACTAGTAGTATGTATCTTAAGCCAGGTTCCTGCTACTATTGCTGATTTGAAACCCTTCTTAGTCTTAATGTTATTTTTAACAGATTGTGTATCTAATCTGCTTCTTAAATACTTACTTTTATAGTATAGATGGAACTTTATTTCAGAGATAAGTATACATTTTCTTCCAGCCATTAACTGACATTTCTACTACTATTACACTGTGTTGCAGGTTTTTCTTTGTTCTGTTTCCAATCAAAGGCAATCTCTCTGTCTTTTTAAAAACATCCTAGCCTGAATTTACATTTAGACTAAGGTGTTTACATCATGTTCAAGTAGGTTTTCATTTCCAATTTAAGTATCTCAACTATAATTGGTACAGTATTTATGTTGGTATGTTTTATTTGTTTTATTATAGGCTTCTATATAGGTGTGATCAGAGCTCCAGTTTAGAATCTTTAAACATACAGAACAGATTACAACTTCTCTATGCAGATGGTTACCTTCTATTCTTAATCATTTTACAGTGCCAAATATGCTTCTAATTTTGATAAGACTAATCCTTTATCACAAACCTTCTATGCATGCACCACTTTTCTCACCACTCCAGTTCATGCTATCTTGGTATTACCCTCCTAATCAAGTACTCCACAAGTTGAATATAAAAATGTTAGTACTGCTTTATCTCTAAAGGACTTATATACACAACTCTTTGCATAACAGAACTTTCTATATTACTACTATCATACATAGTACCCATATTTTGCAGAGTCAGTTTCCTTTCAAGAATTCTTTTTTTTGTCATATACTGCACTTGGACTTGACCACAAAGCTTATATTCAATTACAGACTTCTTATACATTATAGAAGCTAAAATCTTTTAATTTTGCTTTTAGCTGAACTTGAACTGTTAACCTTGACTATAAAGGTATAAGAGCTTAACCATTAAGCTATGGAACTCATATTCTATAATTGAATCTTATTAGTATTAAATAAAATATAATTATTTATATAAGTTTTACAAACTACAAGTTGATTATTTGTATTATATTTTAATAAAAAAATCATTAGTTAACAATTATATTAAATTCAAATATTTGAACAAAATTGTGAATTAGTATTATAATATAAAAAGTTTAATCAAAAATAGAAAAAATATAAAAATAATAAGTAATAAGTATTTTATAAATTTTACAAAATGAATATACACATGTTTTATATATATTTAAAACAGGTTTTTTTTATATAATTATTTAACAAATTCTGTAAAAAAAGCTAATTTAATATTTTTAAAAAGATAAAAAATTAATTTATTATTATTACTATTGAATTATATTTCTAAATAGGTACAAAAAAATAAATCTTATTTACTAATTTCTTTTTATAAAGACAAACTAGTAAATGTATTTTATCAAGAAAATTCTTCAAATCATAAATTTTTAATATTCAAATAATTCAAAATTTAATTAATAAATTTAATAATAGCAATAATAATAAACAATATAATAATAACAATAAAAAACATAATTATAAAATTAATATTATTTATTTGTATGAAATATTAAATAAAATATATTTTGGTTTAGAATTTTATTAATATATTTATAATTTTATTAAGTTTTAATTGTATTTTTGACTGACCACTCCTAATAGTGCTATAGTTAAATTAATGAGCATAAACAAGAAGGTTGAGAATTTCTTATAAGAAAAAAAAAAAAAGTTTGAAGAAGGAAGAAAACAAGTAACTTCTTGTCAAAAAGAAGAAAAGTGCAGCAGAAGTAGTAAAAAATTAGATAACACAGAAACAAAACAAAGATTCTTAAAAGAAAAATAAAAAGAAAAAAAAAGAAATAAAACTAACATGTTATAACATTAATAGATTCAAGACCAAAGTGTGAAAATAAAAAAATCAGCTTGGCTGAACAGAAAAAGAAGAAATTATAAAATTAAGAATCACAGAGACAAATCTTACAAAAAGAAAAAATAAATTCCTAATGCATATAACAGACAAAAGATATATAGAATTTTGGACAAATGCAGCAGAGAACAAAAAGAAGAGTTTGGGTATTAGAATTATAATTAATGAACAATAAGAAAAGCATATAGGTGCAGTAAAGAAAATAAATAAATATATAATAAAGATAATACTATACTTTAAACAATTGAAGTTAGTAGTAATTATAGTTTATATACTACCAAATGATAAAGTAGTAGAGAAAAACATTTAGCAAAAAATCATAAAAACAGTCTTAAAGAAGAGAAAACATATACAGATTATTGTAATAAGG